ATGCTGTGCAGCAGGCTCGGGTGGTAGAAGTAGGGCGACGGGAACATCCTCTGCAGCGCCGAGTAGTTCCCCGCCTCGGCCAGCAGCTCCAGGCCCACCGCCGTCTGCCGCTTCCACTTGGTCCTGAAAAAAAAGTGGACGTGCACGCACCGCGCGGCCGTGGGCACGGCCCGGGCACCCAAGTCCCCTCTCTGCCCTCTCCCGCCCTCTCCTCCGGGGGGACAGGAGGCCGAGAGAGCTCTGAGAACCCACAATGAACCGCATCCCCTAACACCCCCCCTCCCCGCCAACACACACACACACACACCCTCTTCTCCCGGAGTGACCACCATCCAAGTCAATTTCTTAAATTACACCGTCAATGGCTGAGACGTTCGCCAATGGAACTCTGCGAGCTCTGCTGCCTTTTCCTGGCCCTCTGCTCCACTGCTGCCCCCCGCCCCCCACAGTTTGGGTACCTCCTGAAACTTTCCCGGGGGGCAGCTAAGGCCACTGTGTCTACAGGCGGTCTTCTCCCTCCTCCTCTAATTCCCTTTCCCAGCCAGTGGCTCCCCAACAACCCCAGAGGGTCCGCTCTCTGCCCCTCCCCCCTTTCTCCTGGCCGAATGGGCAGAAACGGTAAACAAAGGGACGCAGAGACCCCCGAGCCGGGGACCCTGGCCCTGCTCAGTCCCGGGGGGTGTGGAAACACATCTCTCTCATCAACCTGACAGGACCTTACGGCAGGCAGGGGACTGAGAGTGGGGAAGGCGGTGACGAGGTTTCCAAACGGAATTCGTTAGAGGGAGGGAGGGCTCTCCCGAGGGGTCAGTGCCTCGGGGCCATTCTGGGAGGGGGAAAATGCTTTTCCAGATATTGTCTCCTCAGGGAGAGAATAACAATTAAAACCTGTGATCAGCTTCTCTCAGTCTCCTCCCGCCCCTGTGCACCTCTGTTAAGAAGCAGAAGAGAGCAGGCCTTGGCGCAAATGCCACACGGAGGAGCTCAGGGCTGGTGGGCCGTCCATACCCAGCGGCTCCAGCCAAATTAATAAACATGCCGCCCATTTTAAATTGGCTACAAATGACACTAATGTTTTCCGACAGAATTAGGGTGGCTGAAACCGTATGTAATGAGACAGAAAATTATGGTAAAGATGACAACTGGATGGGCATTTCCAACCACACTTATGGACGATTAAAACACAAACGAGAGCAAAGGAGGGGGAGAGAGAAAAATCGAGACAAGGGAGACAACTGCCAGGCTTGGAAACACACTGTAACCTGGGCCTCGGGTCGCCTGGGTTCCCTCTGCAGTTCGGGGGCCTGCAAGCTCTGCCAGCCGCTTTCCTAATTTCCTTGCAAGGTTCCAGGCGAGCTCTGAATTCGTTAGAGGGAGGGCCGGTGCAGGGAACAGATACCCAGGCTGGATGCTTGGCCAGCTGCCCCGTCCTCCTGCTGCTGCCCACCTTACCTCTCCTGGCTGCCTCACAGGCCAAGGCAAGGACATTGGAGCTGAGGCCAGTGGGGCAGGTCTTCCGAGACTGAAATAAGTAGCTAGGACGTGTGGCCAGCTACAGACATTCAGAACCAGCCTGGGGCAGGCCCGAAGGGGGCACCTCGCATGCTCTACCAGCCTGAGTGTCAGCTGCCCAGATGTCTCCATTTGAGGAGGTGGGGCCTGATGGACTTGGGGACAAAGTGGGGGAAACTCCAACCACTCGGATTTGAGAGTGAAAGTAGCACATGTTAAGATACTTATGCAAACCTCTCTGAACTCCAGCTGCTCCTCAGCAGCTCTTTCCTTGGGGGAGTGGCTGATCCCTGCCCGTGCCTGAGAGCCCCCAAGTGACCACTCCAGGCCCTCTGAGTCCCCTCTTTTCTCCCAAGGCCAGGAGAAAAGATCGGTGCTCTGGTCACAACCCAGATGGCCAGGCGCTTTGCTCCCCCACACAGCCTCCCTTACCTGCGGTTCTGGTACCAGGTCTTGACCTGGGTGTCAGTGAGGTTGAGCGAAGCTGCCAGGTCCATGCGGTCCTGCACGCTCAGGTACTTCTGCCGCTCAAAGCTACGCTCCAGTTGGTTGAGTTGGTGGTCAGAAAAAGCCGTCCTGGCTTTGCGAGGCTTTTTGGCTCTCACAGGGGGACTCTCTCGGCTACTCGTAATCTCCCGGTCTCCTTCCTCCTTTGTTCCTATGATAGAAACCCAGACACAGTTTAGTAAAGTAACCTGGAATAGGGAAGGGTGGAGTGTCCTTCTGGCACATACTTCCACATTCCCAAGCCAGTCGCTGGTCTTCGGGGACTGCACTCTTCTTACACACATACTTGGGCCTCAGCCAGTGTGGAAAAAGAGGACCCGTTTCTGGATAAGGAGTGTGGAGCCTTGTGCGGAGCTCCCAAAAGCGTTCTAAAAGGGTATCTGATCTCCCCGCCTTTGAAATGTAAAAGAAAAAAAAACTTTACAATAAAGTATCCTTTTGTTATTGTCTCCTTGCTGGAGGGGGCCCAGGGAGGAAGGAAGATCCTGTCCCTCTCCTTTATTGTCTTTCACTAAGATTTTTTTTTCTGATTTGGTAGTTTTCAAAAGGTCTTTCTGCTGTGTGTGTGTGTGTGTGTGTGTCTTAATGTTTTTCTGTTGTGTGTGTGTGTGTGTGTGTGTGTGTGTGTGTGTGTGTGTGTTGAGGAGGGGGCACCTTTTTCATTTTACTTTTGCTGTGTACTCAAAGTCATAGCATTTGTTTTCCTTTTTCAGGTGCACTTGGGAAACGTTGGACTCAAGCTCTCTGCAGCTGCTTGCATCAAGCCTTTTAAAGCTTCAGAAAGAATGTGTCACCCAGACCCCGAGCTGAGCTCAAAACCACTGAGCCCATTCCGGTGACAGCCCAGAGATTTCCGGATTCCATTTGTCAACTTTGGTTTTTTACTGAAATGCTGGGAAATCGATATGTCAATCCCTCTCTGCTTGTACCCGTTTTTGCTGTGCTTCTTGATCTTCCCTGCAGGAAGAACAATAATCTCTCTAATTGACCCACTGGGGAGGTTGGTGCACACAAAAATCGCAGGACCAGACTGTACATCTGTTTGGGGCACTATTATGCTAATGCTGTAATAGTAAAATGAGGAGCCAACATCCCACCTTCCAGACAGTCAGCACACATCTTTCCCAGAGATGGCAAAGATTAATAATAGTAATAATAATAATAATAATAATAATGAACATCTTAGGGGGGAAAAACTTTCCTTTTATGTTAAAAGTCTTTTGCCATAAAGACCAGAACACTTATGAAGTTGTCTGGGGAAATAAATGAAAAAGGGCGTTGAAAGACAATTTCAATTGTCATCTTCTGATTTTACAAAAATAGATAAATTCAATTCCATAAATTTTACTTTTATAAATTCTACCCCCCAATTTCTAATAAAGAGTCAGAAATCTTCCTAAAATGCAGCTATTCAGTTGGGGCCATCGGGTAAGAAGGGTGTTTCTAAAAATACTGAAAAACTGATGATAACATTTTACCTTGTGAACGTTCCTATGTAAACCACGATCTAATTTTTTTTTAAGTTGCTCTGTTAATCAACTCGGAGATTCTTCCTTGATTAAGTCTGGTAATTCCTGTGATGGTGTTTAGAAAATACGGTGTGGAGGGGGGATGAAATAATTTTCATTAAATAGTAAGTACCACCTTGTGATCCCACCCGAAGACACCAACTAGCTCAGCCCGTTTCTCTCTCCCAGTCTCCCTATTCCCACTCACAAGGTCTCTGGCCTGAAAAACCTCCAGTCTTTTCCCGGAAGATCACCTCCGCCGCTGGCCCCTTCCTAATAAATTCAAATCAAGTACAACCACGAAAGAAGGTGGGTGTCGGCGGCGTGGGTTGAGAGGTAGACCTGTAACCACAAACAGAACTTGGGCCGAGTCCTCCCTCCCGCTTGCGGGTTTGGACTGTGGCGGCGACCTCGCTCGAGATGATGCCGGAATAGCTCCCCATCAGAGAAATCTGCGGGAGACCGCAGGGGTGACGGGGAACCCGCAGGAGACGCCGGACGACCCGGGCAGCCGAGGCAGCGCGACTCACCGTGGCATTTGAGGTCGCCCTGGGAATCCTCCCGCTTGTCCAGCTTGCTTTTGCTGTCCTCCTGCTCCAGCTTGGGCCTGAAGCTCTCGTGCGCCGCGTTGCTCTCCGGCTTCGGGGTGTGGTGGGGCGAGGAGACGCTGGTGCTGTAGGGCGCGCAGGCCGCCAGAGGTTTGCTGTCGCCCAGGATGTCCTTAATTAAGAAGGAGGAGGTGGAAGTCCTGGGGGCTGAGGCGGCCGAGCCCGGATGCTGGGCGGGAGGCTGCGGCGGC